TTCACTCACCTCCCAGTGGATGGAGCTCCTGTGGGGTCAGGGTGGAGACCACCCCCCAGAGAAGGTCCTGGAGGAGGTAGAGTGATTTGGAGATGGTAGAGGAGATGCAGAGAAGAACCTTGGCCAATGGCTAGGTGGGAGAAGGTTCAAGTGACCCCACCTGGCCTGCGAGTGACCGCAGGTGGTCCTTGGGGCAGGAAGAAGTTGGCCCAGAGGCTGCAGGAGGCCGAGGAGGCCGTGGAGGCCGTCAATGCCAAATGCTCCTCGCTGGAGAAGACCAAGCACCGGCTGCAGAACGAGATCGAGGACCTGATGGCCGACGTGGAGCGGTCAAACGCGGCTGCTGCTGCCCTGGACAAGAAGCAGAGGAACTTTGACAAGGTGGGCAGGTGTGGGAGGTTGGGGGTGGCTGGGTGGGGCCAGGTGGCTGTGGGTGACACCTGGCTGTCCCCAGGTGTTGGCTGAGTGGAAGCAGAAGTTTGAGGAGTCTCAGACGGAGCTGGAGGCATCACAGAAGGAGGCCAGGGCCCTCAGTACTGACCTCTTCAAGCTGAGGAACATCTACGAGGAGTCCCTCGAGCACCTGGAGACCTTCAAGAGGGAGAACAAGAATCTCCAAGGTGACACCACAGGTCCCTCTGCCCTCCTGGCCATTTCCTACCCATTCCCACGGGGTCTGACGGGGTCTCACCTGGGCAGAGGAGATCTCGGACCTCACGGAGCAGCTCGGCGCCGGCAACAAATCCATCCACGAGCTGGAGAAGGTCCGGAAACAGCTCGATGCCGAGAAGCTGGAGCTCCAAGCTGCTCTGGAAGAGGCTGAGGTGGGACAAGCCCCATCCCACCCGATACCTGCATTCTCCTGGTCCATCCTCTGTGGTCCTCAAGGTCCTCTTTGTCCTCCCCAGGCCTCCCTGGAGCACGAGGAGGGGAAGATCCTGAGGGCGCAGCTGGAGTTCAACCAGGTGAAGGCGGAGTACGAGCGGAAGCTGGGTGAGAAGGAGGAGGAGATGGAGCAGGTCAAGCGCAACCACCTGCGCGTGGTGGAGTCGCTCCAGACCTCGCTGGACGCCGAGACTCGGAGCCGCAACGAGGCCCTGAGGCTGAAGAAGAAGATGGAGGGCGACCTCAACGAGATGGAGATCCAGCTCAGCCACGCCAACCGCGGCGCCAACGAGGCCCAGAAGCAGGTCAAGGCTCTGCAGGGCTACCTGAAGGTACCTGTCCATGCGGTGTGGAGAGGTAGGAGGTGCCTGAAGGTTCCATGGGGACATGGAGGTGCAGGAGGTACCTGAAGGTAGCTCTCCCACAGGATATGGAGGTACCACCTCAAGGTATCACAGGGACATTAAGGCGTAGGAAGTATCTGAAGGTATCTGTCCACAAGGACATTGAGGTATAAGAGGAATACTGGGGTATAGGAAGTACCAGAAGAAACCTGTCCATGGGGACCTTGGGGTGTTGGAGGTCCCACCACCCAACAGGGGTGGTTTGATGGACCTTCCCCTCCATCCCCCCTAGCCCACGGTTGGGTGGGCCCACCACCGCTTCCCACCCCATGGCCGGGTGGACCCACCACCCCTTCCCACCACCCCCAGGACACGCAGCTGCAGCTGGATGATGCAGCAAGGGTCGGGGAGGACCTGAAGGAGAACGTGGCCATGGTGGAGCGCAGGAACACCCTGCTGCAGTCGGAGCTGGAGGAGCTCCGGGGCCTGGTGGAACAGACCGAGAGGGCCCGGAAATTGGCTGAGCAGGAGCTGATCGAGGCCAGCGAGAGGGTCCAGCTCCTCCACTCCCAGGTGAGACCTCACCTGCCTGCCAGGAGAGGGGTCATCTCCATCCAGGGATGCTCCAGTCCAGGAGAAGCAGCTCTGATTGCTTGGTGGGGAGCTCAAGGTGGCTCAGAGTGGTGCAGACCCAACGTCCTCCCCTTCTCCTGAAGGGCTGGTCTGGAGGAGGTTGGGTTGGTCTAAAGGAGGTCCAAGGAGGGTTGGGTTTGGTGGGAGGAGGTTGGGTTGGTCTATGGAAGGTCTGGTTGTATTGGGGTGATGCAGACCAACTCTTGCTGAGTTGGAGACCCCCAGGATGCCTCCAGTTGACCCAGACTCAACAGTGCCACCTTCTCCTGAAGGTATCAGGAGGGTTGGGTCGGTCTGGAGGAGGTTGGGTTGATCCATGGAAGGTCCAAGGAATGCTTGGTTGGTCTACAGAAGGGAGGTGTCCATTTCTGTGTTGTGTCACCAAGATCTCCAGAAGATCCTTCACCCTGCAGAGATAAGCAGGGGTCTCCAAGGCCTGGGGGTTCTAAGGGACAGGGCAGCACCCCAGGGCCACCTTCTGAGATCCCTCTCTGTCCCCCCAGAACACCAGCCTCATCAACCAGAAGAAGAAGATGGAGGGTGACATCTCCCAGCTGCAGACAGAGCTGGAAGAGGCCGTCCAGGAGTGCCGGAATGCCGAGGAGAAGGCCAAGAAGGCCATCACCGACGTGAGTGTCGCGGTGGGGCCGTCACCGGGGCCACCACGGAGGACGTGCCATGGACCCCCTGCTTGTTCCTCCACGGGCAGGCGGCCATGATGGCAGAGGAGCTGAAGAAGGAGCAGGACACGAGCGCGCACCTGGAGCGGATGAAGAAGAACATGGAGCAGACCATCAAGGACCTGCAGCTGCGGCTGGACGAGGCCGAGCAGCTGGCGCTCAAGGGGGGCAAGAAGCAGCTGCAGAAGCTGGAGGGGCGCGTGCGGGAGCTGGAGAACGAGCTGGAGGCCGAGCAGAAGCGCAACGCCGAGAGCGTCAAGGGGCTGCGCAAGTCTGAGCGGCGCGTCAAGGAGCTCAGCTACCAGGTGAGACCATGGAGGTGAGACCATGGGGGTGAGATCATGGGGGTGAGACCATGGGGGTGAGACCATGGGGGTGAGACCATGGAGGTGAGACCATGGGGGTGAGACCATGGAGGTGAGACCATGGGGATGGATCAAGGAGCTCAGCTACCAGGTGAGACCACGGGGGTGAGACCATGGAGGTGAGACCATGGGGGTGAGACCACAGGGGTGAGACCATGGGGGTGGGTCAAGGAGCTCAGCTACCAGGTGAGACCATGGAGGTGAGACCATGGGGGTGAGATCATGGGGGTGAGATCATGGGGGTGAGATCATGGGGGTGAGACCATGGGGGTGAGACCATGGAGGTGAGACCATGGGGTTGGATCAAGGAGCTCCGCTACCAGGTGAGACCATGGAGGTGAGACTCAGGTACCAGGTGAGAGCACCTAGGTGGGTCATGGAGATCAGGTACAGGTGACACCATAGGGGTGGGTCATGGAGCTCAGCCACAAGGTGACACCACCTGGGAGGGTCAAACACAGCTACCAGATGAGGCCACCACAGCACGGCCTCTCTTCAGTCACACATGTGGGGGTCAAAAATGGGCAGAGATGGTGGCCCCAGGGACGTGGTCAAGCCAGAACGTTGATGGGGTGACCACAGGGACATGGGTGACCCAAGAGATTGACTAGGTGGCCACAGGGACAAAGATGACCCAGAACATTCATTGGGTGATCCAGAACATTGACCTGGTGGGACACAGGAAGTATCTGGGAAGGGAAACTGAGGCCCAGGAGTTCTGGCTGTGCTCTGGTCCAGTGTCCCACCCTGTCCCTGTTCCCACAGACGGAGGAGGACAAGAAGAACCTGCTGCGGCTGCAGGACCTGGTGGACAAACTGCAGATGAAAGTCAAGGCCTACAAGAGACAGGCGGAGGAGGCGGTGGGTGAATGGGACAGAGCGAGGGATGGATGGATGGATGGATGGATGGATGGATGGATGATGGATGGATGATGGATGGATGGATGGATGATGGATGGATGATGGATGGATGATGGATGATGGATGGATGGATGATGGATGGATGGATGATGGATGATGGATGGATGGATGATGGATGGATGGATGGATGGATGGATGGATGGATGGATGGATGATGGATGGATGATGGATGATGGATGGATGGATGATGGATGATGGATGATTAATGGAAGAGAAGGATGGATAGACAGACGTTTGAAGCCATCTCAGTTGTGGGGTGACAGGAGGATGTCCTTCCCCAGAAAAAACCCCCCTGACCCACTGTCCCCCCAGGAGGAACAGGCCAACACCAACCTGGCCAAGTTCCGGAAGGCGCAGCACGAGCTGGATGAGGCCGAGGAACGCGCGGACATCGCCGAATCCCAGGTCAACAAACTGCGGGCCAAGAGCCGCGACATCGGAGCCAAGGTGGGACCCCCTGTCACCCCCTGTCACCCCCCACAGCTGCCCCACAACCCGCCCCTGGACCTTCTGTCTTCTCTCCCACCCCACTCCAGAAGCTGCACGATGAGGAGTGATCCATCCCTATGAAGGACTCGTAATGAGTGACCCACCACGAGTGACTCCACTGCCACCACAAGGGACACACCATGATGAGAGACCCACCACGATGAAGGTCTCATCATGGCAATGACTGACCAACCATGATGATGAGGGAGCCACCATCACCATGAGGGGTCTATCACCCCATATTGAGGAACTGACCACCATAGTGGACTCCCCACCATGATAAGAGGTCCATGACTACCATGATGAGTGACCTACCCCTGTGATGAGGGATCTGCCACCACCGTGAGGGACCAGCCATGGTGACACCATGAATGACCCCCCACACCACACTAGGGGTCCACCCACCATGATACAAGTCACTCACCACCACCAAGATGGACCCACAATGATGATGAGATGAACCCACCAACACCATGATGGACCCATGATGATGATGGTGGTCTCACCATCATGAGTGACTCCCAACCCCACAGTGGACCCTTTCCCCACCAGTGACACCCCCTACCCCCTGTCCAAGACAAGGGGACCCCAACACCATCATTAATCCATTCATGAGCCACAGAAGGGACACAATGTCCCCTCGGCCAACCCACCCCAAAAACACGACCCTGAGCAGCACCAGGTGTGGGACAAAGTTTAATTTTTGGGGTGGGGGATGGCGGACTGGACCCAGAGGACAATGAGGCGGTGGTGGGGGGTGGTGACCATCAGCGGCCCTCCATGTCAGGATCTGGAGGAGGAACAGTTGGAGATGGTGGAGGAGGAGGATCAATGTGTCTCCCAGCTCCACCCAAGGGTGTCCCAGGTGTCCTCAGTCCCACCCCAGGGTGTCCCAGATGTCCCCCACCTCACCCATGGATAACCCAGGCGTCCCCACCTCACCTATGGACAACTGAGGTGTCCCAAACCCCATCCATGGTTAACCCAGGTGTCCCCAACCCTACCCAAGGGTGTCCCAGGTGTCCCAAACCCTACCCCAGGGTGCTCCAGGTGTTCCCCAACCCCACCGAAGGATGTCCCAGGTGTCCCCAACCCCAACCCAGGGTGTCCCAGGTGTCCCCCAAGCCCACCCATGGACAACCCAGATGTTTCCCAGGTGTCCCCAACCCCACCGAAGGATGTCCCAGGTGTCCCAGGTGTCCCTAATCCCACCCCAGGGTGCCCCAGGTGTCCCCCAAGCCCACCCCAGGGTGCCCCAGGTGTCCCCTCACCCTGTCCCAGGGCCGGGGCCACCCGCGTGCGGAAGGTGACGAAGGTGTCGAAGGCGAAGACCAAGGCGAGGACGAGGCTGAAGGTCTGGGGGGAGGGGAAAGGGGCGTGGCCCGGTCAGTTGGGGGCGGGGCTTGGGGAGGGGGCGGGGTTTGGGGACACTCACGAAGGTGGTGGCAGCCAGGGCGTCACGTGACGAGGCCAAGGCCACCAGGGCCACCACGAGGAAGATGAGGGTCCCACTGATGGCCCGGAGCAGGTCCTGGTGGGACAGCGAGGGGGACACTGTGGGGACACCTTGGGAACACCAGGGGAAGGGGAGGTGACAATGGGGACACACCATGGGGACACCAAAGTGATGGGGGTGGTGACAGTGGGGACACCATGGGGACACCAAAGTGATGGGGGTGGTGACAATGGGGACACCTTGGGGACATCAAAGTGATGGGGGTGGTGACAATGGGGACACCAGGGGGACATCAAAGTGATGGGCGTGGTGACAATGGGGACACCATGGGGACACCAGGGGACATGGAAGGGTAGCAGCAGGTCACCTTGGGGACATGGGGGGACACCAGAGGGACACTATGAGGACATGGAGGGGGACACCCAATACCACAGGGATGTGGGGCAGTGACAAGGGGACACACCATGGGGATGACATGAAGGGACACTATGAGGATGTGGAGGGGACACCATGGAGGACACCCTAGGCATGACATGGGGACATGGAGTGACACCGTGGGGACGTGTAGGGGACATGCCATGGGGTGACAGCAGGGCAGGGGACAGCTGGGGGACATCAGGAGAGGGAGGGGTGAACACAGAGGGGAAAAAGCCAAGGTGGGCACCAGGAGGTGACACCATGGGGGCAGAGGGGGACACCTTGGGGTTGACACCAAGGGGTGACACCTTGGGGACACGGAGTGACACGGGAGGGACAGCAGGAGGACGTGGGGGGGTTGGGGAGGGACACAACACGGGGGACACCACGGGGACACATCATCCATCCATCCATCATCCATCCATCCATCCATCCATCCATCATCCATCATCCATCATCCATCAATCCATCATCCATCCGTCATCCATCTGTCATCCATCCATCCATCCATCATCCATCATCCATCCATCCATCCATCATCCATCCATCATCCATCCATCATCCATCCATCATTCATCCATCCATCCATCCATCATTCATCCATCCATCCATCCATCCATCATCCATCCATCCATCATCCATCCATCATCCATCCATCCATCCATCATCCATCCATCCATCATCCATCCATCCATCCATCCATCCATCCATCATCCATCCATCCATCATCCATCCATCCATCCATCCATCCATCATCCATCCATCCATCATCCATCCATCCATCATCCATCATCCATCCATCATCCATCATCCATCCATCATCCATCATCCATCATCCATCCATCATCCATCCATCATCCATCATCCATCCATCCATCATCCATCCATCCATCATCCATCCATCCATCCATCATCCATCCATCATCCATCATCCATCCATCCATCCATCCATCATCCATCCATCCATCATCCATCATCCATCATCCATCCATCATCCATCCATCATCCATCCATCATCCATCATCCATCCATCCATCCATCCTCCATCCATCATCCATCATCCATCCCTCCATCCATCCATCCGTCCATCCATCCATCCGTCCATCCATCATCCATCCATCCATCAATCATCCATCCATCCATCATCCATCCATCCATCCATCCATCCATCCATCCATCCATCATCCATCCATCCATCATCCATCCATCCATCATCCATCCATCCATCCATCCATCCATCCATCATCCATCCATCCATCCATCCATCCATCCATCATCCATCCATCCATCCATCCATCCATCATCCATCATGGGTGGCACTCTGGAAGGTTCCGGAAGGTCCCCGGTGCCACCGCCGTGTCCCGTACCAGGCAGGTGCCGTAGCCGGGGGGCAGCCGGGGGGGGTCCCGCAGCAGGAGCCCCCCCAGGGCCGCCGCCCCCACCAGGGTCTGGAGCAGCGCCGGGGCCAGAGTGGGGGGCGCGGGGGGGGCCAGGAGTGCCACCACCCCCCCGGACAGCACCTGGGGACACAGAGGGGTCACAGAGGGGTCACGGGGGGACAGGAGTGCCACCACCCCCCCAGACAGCACCTGGGGACACAGGGGTCACAGAGGGGTCACAGAGGGGTCACAGAGGGGTCACGGGGGGACAGGAGTGCCACCACCCCCTGGATGGCACTTGGGGACACAGGGGACACAGAGGGGTCACTGGGGGGTCACAGAGGGGACAGGAGTGCCACCACCCCCCCGGACAGCACCTGGGGACACAGGGGACACAGAGGGGTCACAGAGGGGACACAGAGGGGACACAGAGGGGTCACAGAGGGGTCATGGGGGGGACAAGAGTGCCACCACCCCCTTGCAGAGCACCCTGGGGGCACGGGGGGTTATGGGGGTGTCAGGGGTTCACACCTGTGGGGTCCCCACTGTCCCCGCAGTGCCTCTGTACAGGTACCTCCCCCAGCAGCAGCGCCCAGTGCCCCCAGTGCCCCCATACCAGTCTCCCCAGTTCCCCCAAGTCTCTCCAGTGCCCCCAGTACCCCCATACCAGTTCCCCCAGTCCCCCCAGCCCACCCAGTACCTCCACACCAATTTCCCCTCAGTGCCCCAGTCCCAGTTCCTCCAATTCCCCCAGTATCCCCGTACCAGTTCCCCCAGCATCCCCAGTATCCCCATAGCAGGTCCCCCAGTATCGCCAGTATCCCCGTACCAGTTCCCCCAGTATCCCCAGTATCCACATAGCAGTTCCCCCAGTATCCCCAGTATCCCCATGCCAGTTCCCCCACTGCTCCCAGTGCTCCCAGTATCCCCAGTATCTCCATGCCAGTGAACCCAGTATCCCATCCCAGTATCCCCCAGTGCTCCCAGTATCACATCCCAGTTCCCCCAGTGCTTCCAGTATCCTGTACCAGTGCTCCCAGTTCCCCCAGTGTCCCGTACCAGTTCCCCCAGTATCCTGTACCAGTGCTCCCAGTTCCCCCAGTGAACCATCCCAGTTCCCCCAGTGTCCCGTCCCAGTGCTCCCAGTGTCCCATCCCAGTGCTCCCAGTTCCCCCAGTGTCCTGTCCCAGTTCCCCCAGTGTCCTGTCCCAGTGCTCCCAGTTCCCCCAGTGTCCCGTACCAGTGCTCCCAGTTCCCCCAGTGTCCCGTCCCAGTGCTCCCAGTTCCCCCAGTCCCATCCCAGTGCTCCCAGTTCCCCCAGTGTCCCGTCCCAGTGCTCCCAGTTCCCCCAGTCCCGTACCAGTTCCCCTGCCAGCAGCAGCCCCCGGGGGGTTCTCAGCACCCCCAGGTCGAAGACCCCCGGCGGCTCCGGCTGCCCCATGGGGGGGGGGTCCGGGGGGTCCGGTGGGGTCTTCGGAGGTCCGGGGCCTTCTGGAGGTTCCGGGGGGGGTCTGGGGAGGGTCCCAGGGGGTTCTGGGGGTCCCGGGGGGTCCCAGGGGGTTCTGGGGACCCCGGGAAGGCCTCTGGGGGTCCCTGTGAGGCTGGGGGAGGGGCGGGTACCGGGGGGGACACGTGGGGTGCCCCCGCCCCCCCCCCCCCACCGTGACAGGCACCGGCGGGACCGGGACAAAGGGACCTTGTTGGGGACACTGGGAGGGACTGGGAGGGACTGGGAGGGGCTGGGGGGACACTGGGAGGGACTGGGGAGGACTGGGAGGGAACTGGGAACTGGGGAGAACTGCCGGGTGGGCCCTGGGCGTGTGCGGGGATTGACTGGGAGGGACTGGGACGCACTGGGGGAGCACTCAGAGTGATTGGGAAGCACTGGGAGTGACTGGGATGGCACTTGCAGAGTGACTGGGAGTGACTGGGAAAGACTGGGAGCTACTGAGTCACTGAGGGGGCACTTAGAGTGACTGGGAAGCACTGGGAGGGACTGGGACGCACTGGAGGGGGGACTGGGAGGCAACTGGGAGGGACTCGGAACTGCTGGAGGGGCCTTAGGCGCATACTGGAATTGACTGGGAGTGATTGGGAGCTGACGGAGCTACTGCGAGGGGTCTGGGTGGGATTTAGGACTGGGCGGGACTGGGAGAGGCTGGATAGAGACTGGGAGGGAACTGGGATGGACTGGGAGCTGCTGGGGAATAACTGGGATTGGCTGGGGACGGACTGGGAGGCAACACTGAGTGGAAACTGGGGGGACTGGGAGCTGAGAGGATATACTGGGATTGACTGGGAGCAGTCAGGGGATGGCTGAGAGGAAACTGGAGGGGACTGAGGGGAACTCGGAGGCACTGGGAAATGCTTGCGGAACACTGGGAGGAACTGGAAGTCTCCAAGGAGTGAATGGAGCGTGACTGGAAGTAACTGGGAGGCACTGGGGAGCAACTGGAACCACTGGGAGCTGAGTTGGGCATCCCCCAATACCCAGTATTCCCAGTTGTTCCCAGTCACTCCCACTGCTCCTCAGCCACCTCCCAGAGCCTCCCAGTTACTTCTCAGTTGCCCCCAGTCACCTCCCAGTGCTCCCAGATCACCCCCAGAGCCTCCCAGTTGCCTCTCAAATGACCCCAGTGACTTCCAGTTGCTCCCCACTTCTCCCCCCTTTGCCCCATAGTGCCCTCCCAGTGACTCTCTAGCTCCCAGTCACTCCCAGTGCCCCCCCAGTCACTCCCAGTTGCTTCCAGTCACTCCCTGTTCCCCCTCCAGTCATTCCCAGTCACTCCCAGTTGCTCCCAGTCCATCCCAGTGCCCCCCAGTCCCTCTGAGTTCCCCCCCAGTCACTCCCAGTTGCTCCCAGTCCATCCCAGTGCCCCCCCAGTCACTCCCAGTGCCCCCCCAGTCACTCCCAGTCACTCCCAGCTCCCCACCCCCAGTCACTCCCAGTTCCCCCCAGTCCTTCCCATTTGTGGTTCGGTGTCGCTGGGGGAGGGGAGGGGGGGGCGGGGACACCCTAAAAATACCCGGGGGGGGGAGGGGCTGGCCCGGGGCCCGATCCGGGCTAAAAAAAGCTGGGGGGGGTCACGTGACCCTGTGGGGGGATTGGGGGGGCGGGAGCGGCACCGGGACCCCCCCGCGACCACCGGTAATGGGGGAGGGGTCCTGGGGGGACACGGGGGATTGGGGACATTGGGGGGACATTGGGGGGACACGGGGGATTGGGGACATTGGGGACATTGGGGGACACACACGGGATTGGGGTCTGGGGGGCACTGGGGGCACCGGGGGGGACAGGGCTCTTGGAGTGGCACTGGGGGACGCTAGGGGGGATATGGGACCGGGAGCAGAATTTGGGGTCCTGCGGGGTCACTGGGAGAGAGCCATGGGACCTGGGGGGACATGTGAGAGAGGGACATGGGGCTGGGAGGGGGGAATTGGGGTCCTGGGGGGACAAGTGAGGGGGAGATTGGGACCATGAGGGTGGGATTGGCATCCTGGGAGGACACATGAGGGGCACATGGGACTGGGAGCAGGATTTGGGGTCCTGGGGGGACACTGTAGGGGAGGTAACGGGTGGGGGGCTGCTGGGGGAATCTGGGGGTCATTGGATTGGGGTCTGGGGGGGAGGGCAGGACACACTGGGGGACACTTGGGGTGAGAGGGAACAAGGAGGCCAGGGGGGAGGCAGGGGGTGACCCCAGGATTGGGGTCCTGGAGGGGCACCAGGGGGGATGTGGGACCATGTGGGACCACGGGAATGGGATTGGGGTCCTGGGGGGGACACTGGGGGGGGATTGGGACCACGAGAATGGGATTGGGGTCACGGCGGGGGACTGGGAGTGACACCAGGGTTTGGGCTGGGGTCCGGGTGGGCAGTGGGGAGGACAAGGGGTCTGGGGCCAGGGGGTGACAGGGGGACTCTGAGAAGCCAACTGCCCTCAGTGTCCCCACCGTGTCCCCTCGGCGTCCCCCAGTGCCCTTTGCTGTCCCCCGCGTGACACCAAAGGGGACACTGAGGCCACCCCATGGCCTGGCTCTCCATGGACCTGCTGCCACTGACCCTGGCACTGCTGGCCATCACCGCGGCCACCACCGCGGCCACCGCCGTCCCCCCCGGTGACACCGCCGGCCCGCTGGTGGTGACCCTGGACATGGCCCCGGACGCCTTCGATGACCGGTACCGGGGCTGCGGCCGTGCCATGGCCGCGGCGTTGCCGGGCCTGAACCGCTCCGAGTTCCGGCAGAACGGTCACTTGGCCGAGGGCTGGGCTCTGGCCGCGGCCGAGTGGCGCGTCCGGATGTCCCCTCGGTCCCCTCGGTCCCCTCTGTCCCCAGCCCAGGCCATCGCCCTGCTGGCCTACACGGCGCCGGTGCCGTTACACCGGGAGTTCAACGCGGCCGTGCGCACGGCCGGAAAATCCCGCCGGGAATACCGGGAGCAGTTCCACTTCAAAGCGCTGCATTTCCTGCTGACCGACGCCCTGGCCACGCTGAGGGACGCTCGGGGCCCGCGGTGTCACCGCGCGTACCGGGGCGTGCGCGGGGTCCGCTTCGAGGCGCGGCGCGGTGACACCGTCCGCTTCGGGCACTTCGCGTCGGCGTCGCTGCGCAACGAGAGCTCCTGGAGCTTCGGCACGGACGCGGCGTTCCACGTGCTCACCTGCCAGGGCGTGAACATTCGGGAATTCTCCTTCTTCCCGCACGAGGAGGAGGTGCTGATCCCGCCCTTCGAGACCTTCGAGGTCACCGATGTCACCAACGTCACCCAGGCTGGGGACAAGGCGCGGATCCAGCTCCGCTCCAGCGGCACCGTCAGCAACTACAACTGCGAGTGGCTGCGAGGTGACAGCGCGGGGGACAGCCTGGGGGACAGGGACACTCAGGGGGTGACAGCGCGGGGGACAGCCTGGGGGACGGGGACACTTGGGGAGGTGACAGCGCAGGGGACAGCCTGGGGGACAGGGACACTCGGGGGGTGAGGGACAGGGACAGGGACACAGTGCTGGGGACACTTGGGGAGGTGACAGCGCGGGGGACAGCCTGGGGGACAGGGACACTCAGGGGGGTGAGGGACAGGGACAGGGACAGGGACAGGGACACAGTGCTGGGGACACTTGGGGAGGTGACAGCGCGGGGGACAGCCTGGGGGACAGGGACACTCGGGGGGGTGACAGCGTGGGGGACAGCCTGGGGGACAGGGACACTGGGGAGGGACAGGGACAGGGACAGGGACAGGGACAAAGACACGGTGCTGGGGACACTCGGGGAGGGTGAGGGACAGGGACAGGGACCCAGTGCTGGGGACAAGGACAGGGACCCAGTGCTGGGGACACTTGGTGAGAATGAGGGGACAAGGATACATGGTGCCGGGGACAAGGACAGGGACACCCAGTGCTGGGGGCACCCACTGTGGGCATGGGGACAAGGTCACCCCAATGCTGGGGACAGGGGACAGACACCTGCTGCTGGGGACATCCACCATGAGCCCAGGGGGGACAGGGACATCCCGTGCCGGAGACAAAGATGGGGACCCCCACATGTGGGATGGGACAGAGACAGGGACCCCCCAGTACTGATGCTGTCCCTCCCCTCAGCAGAGCAGCGATGTGGGGATGGGCCCTGTGTGTTTGATGCAGGTGAGCTGGACCCCCTGACCCCTCTGTCACCCTGCCACCCCTCCCCATGGCCCCCCTGTCACCCCTAAAACACCCCCATGGCCACCCTTGAACCCTGTCCCCTCCCCATGGCCCCCCATGTCCCTGTCACCCCTGATACTCCTGTGGCCACTCCCCTTGTCACCGCTGTTGCCCACTCATGGCCCCCTTGTCCCCTATGTCACTCTAGGACCCCTCTGACACCCCTTGGCTCCCTGTACCCTCCCATGGCCCCCCAAACCCCTCTGTCACCTCTAACCCCCCCTCCATAGCCCCCCTGACCGACCCTCAGGGCTCCTCCTTTCCCCTGTCACCTCTGTCCCCCCCTCACTGTCTCCCTGTCCCACTTACCCCACTACCCCCAGCCCCCTGTGACCCCCATCTTTTTCTCCCCAGGCAGGAGCATCCCTGGGGACCTCCCCAACCTCGGAGGGCTCCTCCTGGCCACTGCGGCCCTGGCAGTGGCCACTGGGATCCTCTAAACCACCAGACCACCAAGACCACCATGGTCATTATGGTCACCATGGTCACCAAAGCCACTTGTACCCCTCAAGCCATGAGGCCACCAAGGTTACTGAGGTCTCCAAAGTCGCCATGACCTCTGTGGCCACTGTGACGTACAAGGCCACCATGGCCACTGTGGCCACCAAGCCAGGACAAGGGAGGGGACAACCGTGGAGCCATGGGTGCCACCAGGATGTTGGGACAACAGAGGGACAGGGGGACCCTGACTGTGCCATGGCTGTGGTTCTTCACTTTTTTTGTATTTTTTGCCTCCCTTTCCAGTAATTTTAATTTTTCTTCCCGTT